TCTATTCCAGTCAAATCCGCTGACTTTTAAAATTCCAAACTTTAGGGGCACTTGGGTGGCTCAGTCAGTTGAGCGTCTGACTTTGGCTCAGGTCATGATCTCATGGTTCGTGAGTTTGAGCCCCACATTGCGCTCTGTGCTGACAGAGCTCTGAGTCTGCTTTGGATCCTGTCTCCCTCTCTCTGTCCCTCCCCCACTTGCACTCTGTCTCTGTCTCTCTCCCAAAAATAAAAATTTTAAATTCCAAACTTTAAGGACCTGGCATGACAGGGACCTGCACTGCTCTTCTGGGGAAGGGTCTCGCTGCCCTGGGACCGATGCAGGTTTGACCCAGAAGGGCAGTTTGACATCAGAGTGCAAGGGCATAGGATTTGGAGCAAAGCAGGTTAAACAGCCAGTGTCCAGGTTAGCTACCCTCAGCAGGTGTCTCTGAGCCTATGCCGAGGGGTGGGAGAGGGAAATGGCACCCGCCGGGCTCTTCTGTTCCCAGAGGGGCAATGCCACCACTCACAGATGTGCTCCAAGAAGGGGGAACAGTCTCTCCTGTGAATCTTAGGCAATCCGCACACCATGCCATCTGCCCCCAAGTTACCTGCCTGCCTTCTCTCCAGGAGCAGGGCAGTACTCTCTGGGCCCTATCCTAGCCACATCACCGACCTCTGAAACTCCAGGCTTTGAGTTGTTTGCAAAAACTCACGAAAATCAGCCTCTCATTTTCCCAACCAATGGCTCTGGGGAAGTGTTTTCCTTGTGTGATCCCCTGTGTACTTCTCTTCCCCTCTCTCTCTTTCTCACCTCTCTCCACGACCAAGGCTCCCTCCCCTCTGCAGCCGCCGCAATCCACTTCTCCCCATTTCTCCCCCAAACCATGTCTCTGTACTTCCTACCTTCCTGGATGTGGCCTCTTCTCTCCCTTTAGTTATGCACTTTGTTCTATCAGCCCTCAGGTCGATTTCTTGGGTGTTCAGAATGATCTGATAGTTATCTAGCTGTGTTTGAGGGATGAGACAAGCCTAGGGTCCTGCTACCACTCCAGCATCTTAGCTTGCCCCCGCCCCTTCTATCTGTTCTGTATTTGTTGGTGGAAAAAAAAAAAAAAACACCCATGTATGTGTAAGGGGACCTGTGCAGTTCAAATTGCAGTTGTTCAAAGGTCAACCGTTTGTACAAATATCAAATCATTATATTGTGTACTTAAACTAATATAACATTATATGCCGATTACAACTCAATAGAAAAAAAGACTATTGTTTCCTCCCAGTGAATTATCTAGGCATCTTTTAATTACCTTTGATTACCTGGTAATCTCTAGAGTTATGTCTACCTTTTCATTCATAAAAGTGTTATAGGTTGCTTTTACTTGGAAATGTTTAACTTTCTTTAAAATCAGTGACATTACTGGATATATCACATTTCAGATAAAATAAATGAACAAACACCAAAAGGACACGGACATCTGCTGTTTTCCCAGCAGAAGTTATAGGTTGGTGTTCAGTGGTTAGCATGTCCCCACCGAGACAACGGCATGGATTTGTAAGATAGCTCTTGAACAGCTGGCCTGAGGTTACTGAAAAGAGCGGGATGCTAGGGAGAACTTGGGACCCTGGTTTCACTGACCCTACATTTCAACTAACTACACTATGTAGTTTTTCTTAAGAACTGAAAACATTTTCTAGAGACAACCCATGAATTCTGCAATAAAATTTAAGGTTTTTTCAATTTTCAAGTGTAGTGCTACTTATTTACAAGCATTCTGACTCATTTATCCTGGAAGAGATCCGTACTAAAAAGAAAAACATCCTAGTAGAGGGGGAAGAGTTTAGCCAGTGAAAAGAAGCTTCGCCAAGACACCACCAGTCTTGCAGTCACAGAAAATGATAACAAAAGATGTTTCCATGAATGAATTGGGTTTACTGAATTAGGTCAGCACAGGGTGGTAAAAATATACCACAACTGGAAAGACAAAAACAAGGGAACTGATACCCAGTGCTGTAAAGAAAATAAGCAGGAAGCCGCCCTCCTAGTTGCCTTTCAGTGGCACAGGCCTGCGGGCTCTTGCCTCACGGAACGTGTTGTCAGACGTGGATTAACTATGTCTCAGCACCAGCCTGGTCAGACCTCAGCCCGAGGCAGCTTTCATCACAGTGGCCAGTACCTGTGCGGGACACGGCCACGCCTGGTGACTGATCTTACACAATAATGCACACACTGTTCCAGACTCACTTTTGAAATAAAGGACTCGTAATCATTTCCTGAAAAAGAAGTTGTTAAAGCATCACTTAGCTTTTGCCGAATGTCTGATGCCTTTGTGACAGTACAAGTCACGCTGGGCGACGTGGATCACCTGTCATTTCCTCTAAAAAGCATTCTTTTTTTCTGAGCAGATTTCAAGGATCCTCCTCTTCCCAGCCACGAAACTGTCCTCCCTCCCACCAGGTTCTGTTTCAGGTGCAGCCAGCCACTACTTCCTCAATCAGTGATTCATCATCACCAGTGCACGGTGTTTCTCTGCTCAGATAAATTCTGATGCCAACACAATTCAAAGAAGCGAAACCTTTCCAGATGTAAGTGCTTACTGCTGACAACTGCTTAGCGGGTTCCGAGGTTTGAGGGATCAGAGTTCCAGACAGCAAAATTATATATAAATCTAGATCATATCATAGATACAGTGATTACTTTTGAACATGACAGGGGCAGGCATTTGTGAGATTCCAGGAGGTTCCGGTGTTCTATGGTCCATAGAAGTTCATTCACCTCCAGGTCTGAATTCATTCTCCCTTTCCTGTGTCTAAAATGGTTTTTTATGCCAAATTCTCAATAAAGAGAAAAGCTGAGGGATATGGTGACGGTGGAAACCACACAGCTGCTATATGGAGATGACAGAAGGTTTCGTCCCGGGAGAGGCTGCTTTCGGGAGAAAACAGTGTGGTGACAGCAAGGCTTGGCTGGTGGGGCTAGACTCTCTGATGGTAATGGAGTCTGAGCTCTTCTGGATATACTATGAATACATGCATTTCTGCTAAAAGAGAAAAAAGTTTCTTGTCTGAGAAGAAGATAGTGTGACAGAGTGTTCTGGATTCAAAACTGGGTTCAAATTCTACTTTACCACCCATGTACTTCCTGGGTAACTTGCTCAACCTCCCTGACCTGAGTTTTTTCTTCTATTAACTGAGAACAGCATCTGCTCAATGGGGTTCCTGGGAAGACTGACAGAGAACACATGGAAAAGACAAGCACTTAGTTGGACTTTGCCCTAGCTCCTCTTCAGGTCTTTCTCGGAGTAATGCTTTAGAGAACTGTAGTCATCCAAAGTCTGAAGACACATCCAATTCAGTCACTGGGCCTAAGGAAAAGAGTTCACGCTTTGGTGGATGGGAGAATTATAGCATTCCAGAGACCCTTATATGGGTGAATTCAGAGAAGTCTCCACCTTACAGAAAGCCATCAAGACTTGCTGCCTCAAGGCCCGAAGCTAGTCTTTGGTGATGACATTATGGCTACTATTTACGGGCAGGTATGTTCTGTGGTCAGGGGTTACGAAGTAGTAGTACCTCATAATACGACAGGCACCAGAACAGTATGTGGGGAAAACGATCATCAACAGTGTTGTAAGTGCTTTCTACGGTTAATCTTATTTAATCCCCCTAGTGATTCTCTAAGCAGGTACCATGTGAGTCCTTATGTTACAGATGAGAAGACTGAGGCACAGAGAATGAAGGATCTCCTACTAAGAAATAATGGAGTGAGACCCGTGTGGTCTGACTCCAGAGCTCATGCTCTTGACCACAATGTCTCCCCTCTAGGTAACATGAACTTCTCATGGTCATGGAGATTTCCCCAGCTGTGGCTCTATTTCAGAATGGCTGGTCAGTCACCAGAGGGCAGGATATACCTCTTCCTTTCTTCACTCCATGGAGGTGTACAGGGAATTCATAAGGCCTTTTCAGAGTCAGTCAAAATTATTACATTTACTCTACCAAATAAATAAACTCACACAAAAAAGAATGTTCTATTTTACCTAGTGGTAGATTTGTCTTCTGTGATGACAACTTACAAAGACCCTTAGCTGTAACAGTAACCGCTAATAGTATCTTTGTTCCTTGCAATTTTCTGTCATTTCACTTCACTGGTGTATCTTTCAAACTTGGGGGTCTCGCAGCTTATTTAAGCGATAGATGGGAGAAAAGAGGGTGAGAATCCACTTCCTGAGCAATGTATAGAAAGGCAGTCACAGGGAAACCATCCCTGGAGTGGTAAAACAGTCTGAGAAAGCCCTCATGGAGAAAGGTCCCCTGAGGACTTGGTTCCAAAGCCACAATTTCTGGTCAAATCCCAGGGATGGGACTTGTGTCCTTAAGCAGCCGAGAAGAGGAGCTCCATGTGGCCCATCAGCACAGGGGGGAGGGGGGAGAGCCAGATCTGTACCATAAGCCAGAAGAATCTATGGAGCAGGTTTAAAAATAGCACAGCTCAGCAGGGAGTCCCTGGAGCACCTGTTTTCCTCAGAGCAGAGACAAATTCGTATGAGAAAGGAAGAGCTGAGGGGTGACAACAGGTGGCCACGCTAATTGAAACCTGACAGGAGAGAGTGTTAAAAACTCAGCTTGACAAGCAGGTTGTGAGAATGGCTCACAAGAGCTCCCTTGGAGAGAACTATGAAGATTACAACACACAGCAAGTACCTTTCAAAGGGAGCACAAAAGTGATACGCCGTAAGCACTTCAGAGGATCCAAATTTAACATGTAATCACAACAACGAATGGTAAAAAAATGATTTCACAGATTTAATTAAAGCTTAAAACTTGGCGAGTTTTCACAACAGCAGAATAGTTGAATAAAGAAGTAAGAGCTTTCTCTTTTCATCAAGTGATATACTCGGGGGGGAACGAAAAGCAGGATTCTATTTCATTTATTTTTACTCTACCGGTTTCTGGAAAGAGTTGCCATCTCTGTGTTCTGTTTCCAGCAATGTCTCACTGGGAGCGGCTCTGCCCACTCACCTGAGCCCCTCGGTCGTTGACCAGTTCCACGGACCACCTCCCTTCGTACTGAATCCACACAAATATCCCTCCATCTGCGTCACACGTGGCCAGCTTCTGGTACGGCTCATTCCACCTCACCAGCACAACCTAGAAAACAGCCAAGAAGATATTTACCACAGGGATTAAAGCAGAGGGCCAGGAGTATGTCTCCAAAGAGGTGAGATTTCTGAACTAAAGAGGAGGCACGGTCAAGGGGAATGAATGGCTGAGGGCAGGTGTGGGGATTAGGAGAGGGGACAGGGCATGGCCCACAGGTGAAAGAGACTCAGGGAATGGGACTCCGATGACGAGGCTTCCTGAAAAATAGCCCTGAGCAAACCATAAATCGTGACACAAAAATGCCCGCTGCTAGAAAAGCAGAGGATCCAGAGCCCATCTGGACTCAGTCCTGCCTCTCACAAGTACAAGAATAGTTCAGTATCTAAATAATTTAGAAAAAATCATTGAAACGTCTAAGCTACTTAGTACTTTATCAGAGAGGAAATATGAAATTACAAGCCTCAACATTTGTGAGTATGACAAATTAATTTTTTAGTTTAAAAATTCTGAACCTGGACAAATCACCCATCTTTCTGGACTATCACTCCCTCACCCAAAAGGTGGACCCTCTGGGAGGTGGTCTGTGGGATTAGGTAAATGCCCAAGGAGACTGAGGACAGGACCCAAAGAGCCCAATAAAACCTGTAAGGACACAGGCTTATGAAGCGGTCCTGGGTGCCCATGAGCCACAAAACCAATACCCTGCCTTCACTGTGGTAAAACTCTGAGTGTCGCCTGACTGGTCCATGCTGGTGATCGTGAGGAATTCATTCCATCGGTCAGACATGTGGTTGGTACTTATTAGGTTCAGGCTGTGTGACACTATACGATCAATGCCAAGATGGAGAAGACCGGACCCCATGCTCAGGAAGCTAAAAATCCATCTGGGGGTCAGCACATCCACAGATGCACAGACATACACGGATCTGTGACAGTCAAATGAGCACTGTCATTAACCACCCAACGCGCAGCTGCTGTTCATAAGAAAGATCTGAATCCCCTGTCTCCCCCCAGGACTTCACACCCAGTAAACGAATTCTCCAAATTCTAAAATAGCAAGCAAGGTGTTGGGGGGGGGGGTGCGCCTGGGTGGCTCAGTCAGTTAAGTGTCTGGCTCTTGATTTCAGCTCAGGTCACGATCTCATGGTTTGTGGGATCGAGCTGCGCTATCAGCACACAGTCTGCTTGGGATTCTCTCTCTGCCCCTTCCCCACTCGTGCTCTCTCTCAAAATAAATAAACATTTAGAAAACAGTAATAAAATAAAAAAAATAGCAAGCAAGGCCAAGGACAGACTGTCAAGGACCTCTGCAATGTCCAGACCCCTTCTCACACCCACCTGCGTCCAAACACAAAAGTCCTGTCCCTTCTCAAACCTGTGCCAAGGGCACGCCTGATTTTAAGTCTTTAATTTGGTTTTCAGGTATCAGAGAGCTGGAGGGCCCCCCAGCCCTGGTCTGCCACAGTTGGTGGCATCAGCACTTGTTGTGAGACGCATAATAAAATCCAAGAAGAAATTACTGCCCACCTAAAATGTAAAGACACTGTAGCTCTCTTTTAAAACTGCAAAAAATTAAAGACAGCTGTGAGGCCGCACTCCTTGGAAGCCTGGCAATCACCCGGCAGATCTTACCTCGTTGATGGTTCCCACGCCAGAGTCTGCTTTCACGGATGCTGACGCCACCCACGCCCACGGCACACCGTCCTGCTTTCTCTTTGCTGGACCGGCTGCCCCACTCTGCTCACACTCTGCAAGTGCAGCACGTGCACCATCCACCATAACTACCGGTCCACGTGCACGCCTCCCCACTGAGCTGTGCACCCTCGGAAGGGGGACAGGGGCACGCTCACCTTTGAATACTGACACACTACAGTAATTCTGAGTGTATTGTGCCAAAGAGTACTATGTAATTAGAAGTTATGATCCATATCTTTGAACTATAAAAAGGTTATTGAAAACTATGTCCAGAAGGTTCTTTTCAATGCCCAAAGGCATTTTAACAACAGCCAACTCTGCCTGCCTGCTTACTATGAACTGCAGGTGCTGAGGATGGAGATTAAGACATCTTTGTGCTCGTGGAGTTCAGTTCACTAAACAGAGCACAGCGCTGCTCTATGTGCACTTAGAGAGTCGTGAACATACACAGGAGGGGAACTCAACACAGGTGGAGGGGGAAACAAACCCAGATTCATTTTTTTAAGTCCAGTTTTAAAAACTCCCTATGTAAGAGTCTCTTACGGTTTGCCTCCCTCTCTGTTTTTACCTTATGTTTCCTTCCCTTCCCCTATGTTCATCTGTTAAGTTTCTCAAATTCCACGTATGAGTGAAGTCTTCAATACAGAGAACAAACAGAGGGTTCATGGGAGTGGAGGGGGTGTTAAATGGGTCACGGGCATTAAGGAGGGCACTCTTTAGGATGAGCACTGGGTGCTCATATATAAGAGATGAATCACTGGGTTCTACTCCTGAAGCCAAGACTGTACTGTATGTTAACTAACTTGAGAATAAAAAAATAAAAAATAAAAAATAAATATCAAAGATTAAAAAAAATACTGATCTGATTAAAAAAAATACTGATCTAATTAAAAAAAACCAGTACCATCAACAACCGAAGTCTTTTAATGTGTCATAAAATTTAGAATTTCTAGTCAATAAAGGCCAACTTCATAAACCTCTTTCAGATCCAGTGATTTGGCCCAAGCACTGCAATCCACTAACGTGCATGCAGCTACATTTTGGTCCCTTTATAAGACACACGTTCATCATTCAAGTCCACAATCACTGATGTACTTCAGAATGGCCACCACGGGATGGAATATGACAACTAAATACATGATATTCACAACTGACCAGTTTTTAAATGATTTCCTTAAGTTAACACAGAGACCATTCATCTGCTATGATCTTCCCTGTAAATAACATTTGACAAGGTGTCGTATTTTAGAAAATAAAGCTTAATAACATTTTCTGTACTTCTGCCTTTCTTCCTTTAACATCCATTGCCAGGCATGGTTGCATATTAAGTTAACCTCAATAATAAAAACCCTCTTCTTCACGAAAAGAGCCCGCAGACTCATAGCATGAAACAGACACAAAAGAGCAAAGGCAAAAAAGTTATTTTTCACTCTAAAGATTTCTTGGTCTTCTGACAACGCAGTAGTTGTTGAATAAACAAAAGGCTCACAGGCTTCATGTTCTTGTAATTCTTGATCAGCGCAGATGCAGCAGTAAACAGAAATGTAGTCCCATTCCCACACCTTTGCTGTGAGTTCTAACCAGTGTAACGGAATAGGCAGGTAGCTGCCCTAATTTAGAGAAAGAAATCTTTCCAATGATTCTTCATTTAAAAATAAAGTCAAACTCTTAATGTTGTTTCCGTGGATTAGAATTCTCATTTCCTCTCTCATCTACAATGCATAGCTGCCCGCCTTATCTCCCAGCAGCTTATTTCCTGTTCTCTAAATCCCTCCAATCCAGCTGGCAATGTCAGGACATCCCAGAGCGCCGAGAAACTACCAATGGGGAGCCCATCGCCCATATGCCCACATCATGTGGCAGGGTGCTCCACCTCCTACCAGGCACTCTAAGGCAGAGCTCCCCTTCCTGTTCAAAGGAAACAGGGCTCCTGTTTAGTCTGCGCACAAAAGAACTTGGGCTGTCAGGGTGCTGTGTTCTACTAAAAAGTCCGAAGATAAGCTAAGTATTGATGCAGGTCTTTAATTTAATCTCAAAAAAATGCCAGCCTGTCACTCTCTCCAATGTTAGATGAACACTTTATCATTTTATAGTTATTGCTAATAGACATTTATTGAGGACTATTAAAAGTAGACACATGTACATTTAAAATATAGGGCGGGTCTGCTGAAAGTCTATTTGGGATATAATCTAGTGCTCTAAATAAGTCACTTCATTTCCTACACCCTGTCTATTTTTAGGGAGAACAAACAAATGTCAGTTAACCCATCTCAAGGATGTTCATCTTTTCAGACAGAAACCCTTTAAATGGTGTTGGGAGGGGGCGCCTGGGTGGCTCAGTCGGCTCAGTCGCCTCGGCTTCGGCTCAGGTCATGATCTCGTGGTCCGTGAGTTCGAGCCCCGCGTCGGGCTCTATGCTGACAGCTCAGAGCCTGGAGCCTGTTTCGGATTCTGTGTCTCCCTCTTTCTCTGACTCTCCCCTGTTCATGCTCTCTGTCTCAAAAATAAATACAATGTTAAAAAAAAAATTTTTTTAATTAAAAAAAATAAAAAAAATAAATGGTGTTGGGAGATACAAATAAAATTATATTTTATAGAAATATGTAGGAAACCACCTCAGCGAATGACCAGTATATCACCAAAGTTCAGTAATATTTCTCTGAACCTAAAAAGAATGTAATTGGAATGAATGCTAAATACAAATAGCTCAATAAACCCCTATGATTATTACCATACAGGTTTTAAAAAAATTCTGTCAGTAAGTGAAAGAGCAATAAGTTTAATTGTGCCAGTTTAAGTTTAGACACATTTAGTACAACAAAATGAGTTTAAGAAATGCTATGAATTTCAGTTACATTTCGTCACTCTAAGAAAGAGCCAAAAGCATCTTGAAATAGAAGCACAGCGGCTTTCCAGACTGACGCCCACCAGCACAGAGGTCCTTGAAGTGCCGTGGCAGGAGTGCAGGCTCAGGACCCGAGTCCTGGCCCTGCCACTCACCACAGCAACTTGCTGACCCACTGGACAGGGGCGGGGAAGGGGGGTCCTCTTGTGCGCTTGGGGTAACAGCAGCACATCCCTCTGAAGTGTGTGAGGAGTAGTGGAGAAAGGACCTTAGCACGGTGCCAGGCACACAGCCAACACTCAATCAGTGAGAGCTCCACGTTATTCAAGGATGAGCTAAAACTTCCAAAATACAGAGACTGGTTCAGCATAGTACCAACATGTAGTTTCCTCTTTGATAGAAAATAAACAGTCGGAAAGTCAGTCCCTCTTTCCAGGCCCACCTCCTGCCACTTGCACTGCCCACCCAATTCTGTACCTAAAAAATCAACAGCATCACACACTTCCTG